TTCTCGGTGTTTTCATTAGAGAACAATGATCGAAGAGTAGTTTTGAAAAAAAAAAAAGAGTGAAAAATGTGTTCTCAACGACGGTTCTACAGCAATTAAACTCCAATCACAGGAATAATCTGGCTCAGCAGCTTATCTAGGCTTCAGTTTAAATAGGGCAAATTTTAAATAATTCAAGAAGTAAGGGATAGAAATACACTGAGGATTAGAGCCATGCATTTCATTATGGAAAGGAGACTAGATACAGATTAAAATCTCCTTACATTCCTAATGGACAGAAGATCACAGAGAAATGGGACTTCTATAGTGTTCATCTTATGAATATGGGAAAGCTTACATGATGTGAAATAACTCATGCAAACATTTTACACTGCATATTTCTATGCACTCTCGCCCTTATCCTAAAGGCAGTTAATCGCTCTTCTTAAGTAGAATATTATTTCTGGAAAATTCTCAGTTGGGAAACATGTTTTAATACTAAATATCTCTTTCAATTACACTTTGAATAATAAGGACGAAAGACACGTCTACATGAAATCTTTCAGGTGTTAACACAATAGGATCAGGTTAGGGCTGGGCGCAGTGGCTCACGCCAGTAATCCTAGCACTTTGGGAGGCCGAGGTGGGTGGATCACCTGAGGTCAGGAGTTCAAGACCAGCCTGGCCATCATGGTGAAACCCCATCTTAAAAAAAAAAAAAGGATCAGGTTACAAATGCAACAAATCAGGGACTATAGCAATTAAGTTGGCATATAAATAAAGAAGAACTTAATTTTTGACACAACTCACCTGAGGGCACTATTACAGACGATAGAAAAGGTCACTCGGGAGCTAGATTGATCTTGTAGTTCCATAGAAGTTGATTTTAAGGTAAAAAAGTACTTGTCAATATCAGCACTGATCATGCTATCTGTCGTAACCTATCATAACTCCAGTTCAACAGCTTTTTGAAGAATTCTGTTCCCTGTACTTGAAAACATATTCGTGTAGATTTTTTGCAGCCTTAAATATAAGGATTACTTAAAATCACTCTAGTTTATAAGCAAACAAAAAACTGGAGGGCAAACTTTTTAAAATTGTGAACTTTATCATATAAATTGCTTTCAAATTTAGCCCTACTTCCTACCTACCATATCAATGTATTTGTGGCAGTCTGGGGTTGAACCAGCACAGTTCCTTACTGGAAATCCACCAGCTTCTCCTGATGTCTCTGAGGGACAGATTGGAACTTTTGGCTGATTATGACAATTACACATTAAAACTGACACTCATCCCAGAAGAAAAGGTATTTCATTTCTTCCTTTGCATATTTTGTGATCTCCATTTGAGACATGCAGAGAACTTTATTTAATACAGAATATCCAGAAATCTCTACATTCTTAGGTTACGGACCAATGTTTCATGCTTGTTTCAAACAGAAGAACTTAATCTGCACAAGGATATTTTTCCAAAGCACGAAAAAGCAAATGTATATTGAAGATCCTTTCAAATAAAGACAAAATCTGAAATGTGTTTGCCCCCACTAAGGGATTGCATACCTTCTATTTTTGAAGTATTCCTGAGGACATTGTTTTTTAGACTCTGATAATTGAAGTTTTTTAGTAAAAGTACTACATTCTGAATAATTTTAAAGATACCATGAAATATAGCTGGAAGAAAAAATAACACCAACAATCCTTTTTTTTCCAACCAATATCTTGGAATAATTAAGATTGCTATCCTATTTTCAAATATAAAATATTTTATGATTAATCAGTAAAACTTTAATGTATTTTAAAACTTAAAAAGAATCACAGAATTATGAGCTCCCAGAATTGAAATGCATTCTCTTGTATTGCCACTTAATACTTACTAGACCACCAATATTCAATTTTTAAAAAACAAATATTCCTTATGATGATCAATTTCCATGTTAATATTTCAGTGTTAAAAACTCTTTCCTAGAGTTAATATACATCCTTCACGCTGAAGACTTTCTTATTCTAGGCTTAGAACAGTATCTATAGCTGTTATCTATCATCTGTTAAATATTCTTTTCTTGAAGACCACTATCGTACCTCCTCTTCATTAGACTAAGGTATAATTTCTAAATAGATCTTTTCTTATTTAACAACTTTCGTTTTTCTCAAGGTTCTCCAAATTCCTTTTATTAGAATCCAGAAGTGGATATATGAATGGGATCTAATGGATCATGTGTGGACTGGAAAGATTAAGCCAAGCTCCTTTATGCCACTCAGCACTCAAGCCAAAGACAATTTATTGCTGCTGCTTCTTATTTTTTGCTTAAGGAAAATCCTCAGTAGAAAAGCATTTCTCCATACTGTTCTTTTCAATGTTGTAATTGTGCTTACTTTAAAAAAAAAAAAAAAACACGTTTACTTTGCTAACTGCTTTTACTAGTTAGCTTTAGTCTTGGCTCACTGCGTTTGCAATAATTAGCCAGTATTTTTACTGTATTTCTGCTGTTTGTTTTTTCTCTCCAAGTATGTCTTCAATTAGTCTTACTGAGGTTCATTCTTTTTGGTTCTCACTAGTTCTGCTTTTCAAGTTCCTTTTGAATTCCTGATATCTTTACAGACACTGATTTTTATCAACGCTACACATATTGATTCATTTTAAATGCCTATAAATAAATACCGATATGGCTCAGTTTAAACTATGCTAAATGATACCACAGTGTAAATACATGGTATTCTCTCTTACTGCTTAGGGACTATTACTTAACTTTGTGCTGAAAATGATAAATTTATTTCCAAGTTTCTACAACTTCTTGGCAAAGAGTCACTAAAATTAATATTTTCATAGAATTAGTATTTCGGAACAAGCCCTTTCCCACTCTATGAAGTTAAAGAACTGAAATGAAACTAGTTTGTAATAGACATAATAATACACCTTGTATTGGAAGAAATAAATGTTTTGTGTGTGACCCGGCTTCTCACAGGGTCCTAAATCCAGAGTTAGGGGTAAAGAATGCAAATACAGCATCGCAGACCGGCAGTACTGCCTGGTCATCACACACAGACAGTACTCCTGCTGACCTCCCGGTCCCACCCAACCAAACCAATGAGGCCATACAGGAACATGTTCTGAGGTACTTTTTAAAACGGCATATTTTTCCCTCAGGCACAAACAGTTTTTATTAAAAGTCAACTTAGCAGCTATGCCACTTCACAGGTCCAAATACATGATGCTTGAGAAAGGAGGAAACATAAAAAAAAGAAAAAGTGAGGGCAGGGGTGAACTTTCTTTCATCGATCTCTGATACAATCCACAGTCTCACTAACTGGTACCGGGCAGATGCAACACCAGTGAAATGAAGACAGTGTTTAGGAATGGCAAGGCCATGCAGGTAGAAAAGAGCGGAAGTCAGGCTGCTGTGGTTAGGACTTCACGTAGAATTATTTTGTTTCTGTTTCCGTACTTTCACCTGAATCCCTATTTTGGTGAAGACTTCAAACTCTTTACTCCACGTTGCATAATAAATGACACTGTGGAAAACAGCACTCATATAAAGAACACAAAACGTCCTGGTTGCTTTGGTAATAGCGACCACTACTTAATAGGCGTATATGACTGACGAAAGCTCCTGCAATGTGCTTTACGACTTACCAGTGGGTTTCTGATGGACCACACCATTTCTGTGCCACCCATGACCGCTCAGTGAGCTGAGTGGCTCCTGGATCTCTTTTCTCAATGCCCTACACTGGTAACTGTCCTTTGTGTTAACAGCGAGGGTCATTTTTGTGTTGAAGAGAAGTTGCAGATGTCTTGACATGAAAAGGTCAAACCCTTATGGTTTTAAATAAGTTAAGGCTATCTGACAAAGACAAGGAATCAGGGCTAGGAGCAGTTGTGTGGGCAGCACTTACTTGATGGTTAAGGAGCCCAAGAGTGTTAGACCTTTCAGCTCTGTTAGCTGTTTTCCTTGTTTGTCAGATTATGTGCAAAATAAATTTTGCTATGAAAATCCACTGCCTTAAATCAAGTCATAAAAGTTACCCAGCAGAATCTGTAAATGAACTAGGAACATGTATTATCTCAAGATAATAGAATGTAGGCACCTGAGTGTTTGTCAAAAGTAGACAATGAGCTAAAGTTTATTATCTTTTTTTTTTTTTTTTTTTTTTGGCAAGGAAGATTTGTTATGAAAAACCTAACAACAACAAAACATACAACTTTAATCAAACTTTGAACACTCTCTGGGTAAATTAATTAATCAAAGGCTATCTTACATCTAGGTATGTATATCTTTTCCCATTTGTACTTGATACTTTTTATCAGGAAAGACTCATAGTAGGACCCTGATTTTGGGAAAAGTAAAAAAAATTCTGGTCATTAAATAAATACACCATGTTTTTTCCCCTTCAAGTTATAGAGCCTTCTTTAACATTGTCACACACATACACACATACAAAGGAGCAGCACCAGTACATCTACTCAACTGCAATGAAAAAACAAAATTAAAGATGCCATCAAAACTTGAATAAGTCAATAAATCATAACGTAGTCTCTTTCTTAGATTTACTTAGTAATGTCCAGTGAAGAACTCTAGTTAAAAATACAAAAGCAAAACCCAGCAGTTAATGATTAGAAAGTAAGTGCATAAACAATACCAGCATAGCAGCAAAATACAGTTACTGTTAACATTCTGATGCACCTCATTTATCATTTTGTGCAAGAAAAATGACCACAGTCTGGCCAATTCCAGATTTCAAACTAAATTCAAACTCATATTTAATTGAGCAAATATCTGAAAATAAATGAATTAAATTCACCTCAGAGAAATTATTTTTATAGACATAAATCATGTAGCAAATAAAGTACAAAATAAATATCAATGACAAAAATATTGGAATCAACTTCCCTAGCTGAATTTGGAGTGTGAGGAAAGATGATATTACAATATATGTATATTACACATCTTAGGTCTCTCTTATGCTATCGAGGTAAAGCCAGCCATCTGAGACATGTCTTCTGTTTTTTTGTTTTTGTTTTTTTTCAATTTAAATAAACTGTAGCCATTTAATGGCACAAGTTTATCTGAAACTCAGAGAAACCACAAAATGTTTTATCACATCAGGGTCTGTGCTTCGTGTTCTTCTTCTTAACTTTCTCTCGTCTTCCAAACAACGGACAGTAATCCAATTGTACATCTAACAGCCAAGAAGAAAACACCCGCTGGATCTTGGGCAGTATCCTGTGTGTGGCTACAAAACTTCCTCCCCAGATGTCCGTCCACAGGAGATGAAGACTAGGGGTGGGGAGGCTTGGAGAGACAGTGGAGAGGGGCACACTGGGAGCTGGAATGTGGCTGCTCCTCAGGGAGAGCTGTGTCAGGACTGGAAAGGAGAAACAAGCACGTCAGCAAGAAACATTTCAAAGGGCCAGGCACAGTGGTAGGGGTTAGACGAGTTATTTTTGCTTATTTAAGAACATAAACAGAAATCTTGCACAGTAAATGGTTTCCATCTAAAGCATGCCAAGATAATGGTGGCTTTTCAAAGCAAGGCATAAAAAAGAAAAATGAAATGTAGTAAGGAAATGATATATGAACGCTTCCCCGAAAGTCACTCTTTTTATTTTTTTTCTTTATTTTCTTGCCTCCGGCATTTTATAGACGTTCTTTTCAATTTTTGCAGTCTTGTTCTCCTAGGTCTCTTCCTTAGCTGTAAGATTTCATGAGATCAGTTCTTTTCAAACTTTAATATGCATTTGAATTACCTGGGGATCTCGGTATAAAGGGCAGATTTGGATTCATTAGGTGTGGGGTGGGACCTGAGATTCTACATTTTTAATGAGCTCCCAGTGATGCTGATGGTGATGGTAGGTTGACCAAGGCTTTGGAGTTTGGAGGATTCTATAGTTATCTGGTAGATCTAGATTCACTAGGATAAATAATTTGCCTGTGAAAGTCTAATTTGCTCTAAGGATTCCCCCTGCCTGCTTGAGCTTGGAGGTATAAGTTCGAGTTTTATATTTCACTTATTTTTTTTGAGATGGAGTCTCACTGTGTTGCCCAGGCTGGAATCAACTTCCCTAGCTGAATTTGGAGTGTGAGGAAAGATGGAAGTGCAGTGGCTCCATCTCGGCTCACTGCAACCTCTGCGCCTCCCAAGTTCAAACTGTTGTCCTGCCTCAGCCTCCCAAGTGGCTGGGATTATAGGCATGTACCACCACGCCCAGCCAATTTTTGTATTTTTAGTAGCAATGGGGTTTTGCCATGTTGGCCAGACCAGTCTGAAACTCCTGACCTCAGGTGATCCACCCACCTCGGCCTCCCAAAGTGCTGGAATTACAGGTGTGAGCCACTGCACCTAGCCTAACATTTCACATTTGTTAAGTATATAATGTAGCTTTCCAAACCACTGCTTATGACAGCATCTAGTTTAAATGAACTTGTGCTCAGGCCTATCAATGCCTGGATGAATAATCTTGAAGAATAAAGAAGCGAAGTCATTGAGTTTCCTAGGGTAAAATGACAAAACGCATTTGGGTTTGGGCCTTTTAAAATGTGACTAGCAGTGGGGGAATCACGACATGTGGATTTTTTTTTTTTTTAAGAAAAGATGACTATTTTTCTAAAACTGTTATTTTCCCTTAAACTATGAAAGTCAGTACTATATATAATTCATTTCTGCCAGGAGTGATGTTTGAGAGAACAATTCAAGGATCATTATTATTATTTAAGTATACCTTTATAAAGCTAATATTATTGTTGGAGTCATTAAAATTAGTGTTAAACTTTTTTTTTTTTTTTTTGGACAGAGTCTCACTCTGTCTCCAGGCTGGAGTGCAGTGGCTCGATGTCGGCTCACCACAGCCTCTGCCTCCTGGGTTCAAGCGATTCTCTTGCCTCAGCCTCCCAAGTAGCTGGGACTACAGACGTGCGTCACTACATCCAGCTAATTTTTGTATTTTTAGTAGAGATAGGGTTTCACCATGTTGGCCAGGATGGTCTCTATCTCTTTACCTTGTGATCCGCCCTCCTCAGCCTCCCAAAGTACTGGGATTACAGGCATGAGCCACTGTGCCCAGCCTAAACATATAACTTTTATCTTTGGTACTGAAATCATCCTTTATCTGTATCTCCTACATTTTAATACAACCTTCTAATTATGTAAAATATCTGATTGGCTTGAGGTTAATTCTTACTTCCCAAACTCTTTGAACTGCTGTAAATTTAATTTAAAAGAAGATTTCTTGTTCTGTACTGGTTAAGACAATCAGTGATAAACTTAATTTTTCCTACCTATTTTTATATTTTATTTTTATTTTTTGAGATGGAGTCTCACTCTGTCACCCAGGCTTGGAGTGCAGTGGCACAATCTCGGCTCACTGCAACCTCCACCTCCTGGGTTCAAGAGATTGTTCTGCCTCAGTCTCTCGAGTAGCTGGGACTACAGGCATGTGCTACCATGCCTGACTAATTTTTGTATTTTTAGTAGAGACAGGGTTTCACCATATTGGCCACGTTGGTCTCAAACTCCTGACCTTGATTCACCTGCCTCGGCCTAGCAAAGTGCTGGGATTACAGGTGTGAGCCACCGCACCAGGCCTTTCCTACCTATTTTTAAAATGTGGTAGGTAAACATGGGAGAACTGGAGCTTCAACAAAATGCCTAAGAAAACAGTGCGTAGTTTCATTTGTAAATGTTTTGATATGGAGTCTTGCTCTGTCCCCCAGGCAGGAGAACAGTGATACAATTTTGGCTTACTGCAACCTCCACCTTCTGGGTTCAAGCAATGCTCCTGCCTTAGCCTCCTGAGTAGCTGGGATTACAGGTGTGCACCACCGCACCCAGCTAAGTTTTTGTATTTTTAGTAGAGACAGGGTTTCACCATGTTGGTCAGGCTGGTCTTGAACTCTGACCTCAAGGGATCCGCCCACCTTGGCCTCCCAAAGTGCTGGGATTACACACGTGAGCCACCATGCCCAGCCTCCTTTGTAAATTAGAAAAGAAGAAAATC